CATAGATACCTCAAACAGTCCCTCTACTCCGGAGGTGTTAGGATGTACCTTATCCGTCCTCACATAAAGAGAGTCAGTGTACCACTCCCCCAGTATCACTGCTGGGTGCAGCTGATAGTCTTCCTTCTCTGGCCAGAAGTTGTTCTTATCATCAGTGCCTCCTAATACTACAATCACTGAGGCATTGGTCTCCCATATCATCCTATGATGAATATATAATAATGTATACATGTACATGTAAGATTGTGTATCAAACAGACAGTGAGGGATAAACATATGATTAATGATTATTACATGTACTGCATGAATGTGTGTTTGCTTGTGTGTTTGTTTGTTTGTTTGTTGTTTACCTCCAAAATGTTGGTATTGTGTTTTCCATTGGCCATTGAGCTATGATGTATGACTTTGGGTATAATGGTGAACCAACAAAACTGAGGGAGAGCAGGAAAGAAAAGAATAATGACATCATTATACATAATGTACATGTACATATACTGTAGATATTAATCATTATATTCTATTGCTTTACTTTGCGTTGATGTAATCAGACCCAAGGTTCTCCATTACTCTTTGCAGTTTGACCCTCGTGTGGCTTGGAGCCAAAGGTCCAGCTGGTCTGTTCTTCGTTTCATTGCAAGTTAGTTCAGCCATGAAGTTATTGTATTCTATCGTCTTCATGAACTCCTTCAGCTCATTGTATCCTTTGTGTATGAACCCACCCATCTTTAGTACACCAGATCTCTGCTTTAAACTGATCACCTATTCACAAGTTATTTATAGGTACACAAAGTTATTATTAATAGTAACAATAATTACAATTATGGTATTTATAGTAACGTGGCTATATTTACAAATTCCTTACCCACTGTTCTTTTATAGGTCTTGATCGAAAACCATCAGAAGTTCCCTACATAAATATTAAATTTTATAATAATATTTACTGTTACATGTACAGTGCATGTAATGTATATATTTCTGCTTACAGAAAGTGATAAAACTTTCTTGTCATCTTCCTCTCCCTCGGAGTCACTTCCCTCCAGGAACACGTTCCCGTCTGCCCCAATGTTAACATACGAGTGCCCACTCTCCTCCTCCTCCGATATTAAACTCATTGACTGGGAGGGACTTACAGATGGGTGGCGTCTAGTGGTTGGAGGGCGTGGTCTGTCCTTAGTAGCAGAAGTCAGGATGGGTTGGCGTGGGATTGTGTCATATAAAGGTTCTTTCTCTGGCTTCTCTTTGCTTGAAGCTTGACAAGGGAATTTTGATTTGTCGGAAGTATTTTCAACCAAAGACCTTTCCTTTTCTGGTATTTTGTCGTAAACCGGTTCTTTCTTCTTGTAGCCAAACGTCGTCAAAGGTTCTTTATATGATCTTGTAACTATTTTATAACGAGGCTCTCCTTCTTCGTCTTTATCCTTTGAACTGGTGGGTGTGGTCAATGGTTTATTACTAGTTACTGTTTTATAATGAAACTCTCCCTCTTTGCTTTTGTCCGTGGGAGTGGCTAATGGTTTATTACTGGTTACTATTTTATAATGAGGCTCGTTTTTGTCTCCTGAAGTTGTGGGTGTGGTCAATGGTTTAGTGCTAGTTATTATTTTATAATGAGTACTGGTCTCTTGGCTAGTACTCGTGCTGGTACTAGTGTCGTTGGTTTTTGAGTCTTCGTCTGAGACCGACAGATTTGATAACTGAGTTGAGAAAGAGTTTAACTTATCCGGTACAATTTGAGGCTCAGACTCCTCCCACTCATCCTCCTCCTCCTCCTCTTTATGCTGTGATGGTATCACTTCAATTCTTTTCGTAACTATTTTCTTGGTATCTTTACTAGTTGACGGTTTCTTACTTTCGGTATTTGAAGGTTTACGAGGTGGAGGAGGTTTAGGGACTTTAAATTTAACCGGACAAGTTTTGTCTTTACTCATAGCTTGCAATCTTCCTCTTTCAGTGGACTTACTAAGCACAGGTTCATTAACCTAACAATATAAACAAATAAATAAATAAATAATAATATATAAATATAATTTAATTTTAATGTAGTGATATCTGTTATACCTTCTTTGTGTTCCTGTCTCTCTCTTCATCTTCTTCTCCAGTTATTGTTGTTTCTTTACTAATGTTATTACCCTCTCCTTCTTCCTCTTCTTCAATGAGTGTCTCCTCAGATTTATCATCTTCAGTGTCACTACCAACATCCAATGGCTCAATCTCAAAACTCTACAAATAAGTAATGGAACATGGGCATTGGGCTATGTGTAGTACATGTAGTACGGATCTGAAGGATATTTCATCAAACATTTTTCCAGTACATAAGTCCTTATGTTGCATTTCAATTTTGGATTAAAATTGTATTTTTAAGAATATTAAAAGTATTCTAAAATCAGGCAAGTCCCTGTACTATAGCACAGGGATATTGGTCAAATTTCACCAAAAATGAAAAGTGAGAATTTTTCATTTTTATAATTTTTACTAATACAGATACATGTTTTTATGCTGTGTAGAAATTTTGAGCTGATTCCGATCAAAAAGTGAGAATTCTTCATTTTTATAATTTTTCCTGATATGTATACATGTTCTTATGTTGTGTTTCAAGTTTGAGCCGATTCCGATCAAATTTGAATTTTTTATGAATTTTTAAAGCTTTTGTCACTATAGCTCAGAATGTGCATATACTAAAGGTAAATGAGTAAAATTAATGATAATACACTGACTATATTAGGGCATAATACATACATGTACATGCACATGTATATGTACATGTACATATAAATGATATTTACTTCTTCCACTATTCTGCTGTGTCTCCAAGCACTCCTCCTCTTATCACTGCTCAATAGTCTCACTACAGGTGCTGTAGTGTTGGTTCCCGCCACTTCTCCCTCTCCCTCCCCCTGATCAACAAGACCTCCAGAGAACATTGGTAACTCAAGATCCAGTGATGAATCTGACGAAGCTCTCAAGTAGTCTTCCTCCTGATCCTCTTTTAAAGGGACGGCCATGTTTGGGCGGTTGAATACTTTCCGTGTTCTATCAGCTAATTTGAATATATCTTGTTGAGGTACCTCCTACAATGATACAGTAATAAAACTATAAAATAATAATAATAAAATATAAAATACTAAATGTACATCATTTTAAATTACCCATGTACTTACAGAAGCAGGTGGTGGTCTCCAGTTTGCTACTTCAAGTGGATTACCGCTAATGGTTGATAAGTTCTTGTGCTCTTTCTCTGACATTGTCAGTATATGCTCACCTAATGATGCTCTGTTGATCTTGCTTTTACTCTTTTTCAACTGAGCCACAAACTAAAAGAGAAACAGAGAGAAAGAGAGGACATGAATTAAGAGCAGTTATAGATGTACATAATATGTGTGTGTGTATACTGTATAGTGGGTATATTTCCCGGGGAAAATATTTCACAAAAAAGACCTTTAAACCTATTCACAAAAAAAATTTTGCGTTTTTCTTCTACTGATCATTATTAGTATGGTAAAAAATAATTTTCACAGATAAAAATTTTTACGAATTTTTTAAAACTGCGAAATTAGCAAAATTAAATCCCCATGAAATATATCCCTATACGGTATTTTTAAAACATACATCGTAAGTATATGTGTTATGTGCATACATATACATACAATGTATCTTCAAAATTATTTCATTACATTTTTAAGTGCAGCTGGTGATATGTTAGTATCATTGAGGTCCAGGACCTGAAGCGTGAGGTTGTGCTTTGAGAATACTTCAATACATCTCATGCAGACAGCATCGTCTAGTGGGTTCTATAGGAAATAAAATAAAATAAATAATAAATAGACTAGTAATAACAAAAATATTGATAATAACATAATTACATGTACAGTATGTGTTTAGTAATAATTATGCATAACTTGTACAATTATAAAAACAGTAAACTAATTCAATTTCAACATTAACTGCAAATATTAAGAATTTCCTACATTTAATAATCACAACTACAGTGGTCTATACATATTCCATCACACTTGGTACATTATATGGAGAATGTCTTATTTCATTTGGATAAGTATAGTCTTTTACAAGGAGAATGACAATGAAAAGAAGCAAAATAATCATCAAAAATATTCCAAAGCATTAAATATATTCAGTTGAATTGTACCTGTGCTAGCAGTAGTTTTGATAGCGTCGTGTTATCACAGAGTGAGGCTATGAGGGTTTCCCCTCCGTCGGTTCCGATTCGATTTGAAGAGAGCGAAAGGTTCTCTAGTGTTTGGTTACTTCGGAGCATCTCAGCTAGCGCCTTTGCACCTTCATCACCGATTTTATTACAAGAGAGGCCAAGAGATAACAATTCTAAGAGAAAGAAAGAGAGAGAGGAAAAGTGATAGCAATATAAGTTTATTTTCAAATATTTAAAACTCACTGTCGTTCACATCAAGTGCTTGAGCCAGTTCCTTAGCTCCTCTGTCCCCTATCTCATTCCCTCCTAGTCCGAGGGACGTTACTGGACAAGCCACACCTTCTTCACCCTCATCATCATCAATACTCGTCCAACCGGCCGTGAGAAACTCAGCAAGTTTTTCAATACCGTCATCAGAAATATTGTTATTACCTAATGCAAGCCAAGTCAGCTTGCAGTTAGCAATGTTATCAACTAGTGCTTCCATTAAATATTCCATTCCTTTATCTCCGAT